CATTAGTGACTAGAAGATCTAGATTGAGTTGCACTAGCGACTAGAGGGTCTAGACTGTCACTAGTGACTAGAAGATCTAGACTGAGTTGCACTAGTGACTAGAAACCTGGCTGAGTGGCACTAATGACTAGAAGATGTATACTGAGTTGCATTAATGACTAGAAGATCTAGATTGAGTTCCACTAGTGAGTAGAAACTGTAAACTGAGTGGTTAGAAGAACCAGACGCCCCAAAGGCGGAGTGCTTTACCTTCTAGTTTGCATGTGGAGCAGGGAGGAGCGTGCAGGCGAGTTAAATTTAAAGGCCTCTGTCTTCTGGGCTGTGACATCTAAGTGTTTGACAGGAACGTAATGCCTGCACTTACAATGCCGAAGTTAAGGCAAGCGTAAAACAAGCATTCTGTGCTTGTCTTACTTCGACCCTGAAGAAGAATTCAGTATAGTCTTCCGAAATGTTAGAATATCTCTACGTCACATCTCAGGAGACAATGGTGTTGCATATAAATGGAGTACACCCCGATTAATATTGATACCTTGCGCCTGTGTGAGACAGCAGATGCTGATGCCCCGCCGCAGAACACAAGAACGCTGTGTGCCCTACTTTTCCAATGGGAGGCACAGAATATGAAACGAAAGGAAATAATGTAGTCAATTTTGGAATTTACGTCCAGTTCTTTCACAGGTGTGAGAGTCATTCTGAAATTCTCAAATTTCAACGTTGAAATGCTCCGTGCAACACCGGTTTTGTTCTTAACCATTACAGGCAGGAGTACCCGTTCTTCGCCCGGGATATGGTTGTTTTCCTTGTCACTGCCATAATATACAGTATAGCGGCTAGGACTTAAAGGAAGGAATAACATTTAAGTTAAGAAATTAAAATTTAATAATATAATTGAAAAACAAAAATATTTAAAATTTAAATGAGGTCTCGAATCGCAACAAGAACTTTAGTAGAACACTTGCACATCGTTTTAACAACCATGGACACCGTACATATTGCTAAAAAGTACGGAGTAAATTTCATAATAACTTCGGATGTTCTCTGCTAGGTCCGCGGTAGGAGACAAAAAGTTACACATTTTCAGATTAAGTGCAGATACGGACGCTTCTCACCTGTCACTCTTGTTTGCACTCTGTAGTTCAGTTTTGCATGTTGCTGTATCCTCTCAGTGGTTGATCTCCTTGCAACTAGCTTACATTTGCAGAGAATCAGTGTCATGTTTCATGGGTCAATTTCCAATTAGAGCGAGACAGCGTGTTCGGAACGCACGTTAACAAATCCTTTAAAATTGAAACCTTATTAAGGGAGGGTGTTTGAGAAGAGGCTGCTCAGAGGCACATTTAGACCGAAGAGGGGTGAAATAATAGGAAGTTGGAGAAAACTGCTTCATAACTTGTACACTTTGCCAAATATAATTAGAATGATTAAATCAAGAAAGATGAGATGGACAGGACATGTAGCACGAATGGGGAGGAGGAGGAAAAGAAGAAGAAGAAGAAGAATAATGCATGTAGGATTTTGGTGGGAAAGCCAGAAGGAAAGAGACCACTTGGAAGAGAAAGACGTAGGTGGATTGATGATATTAAAATGGATCTTAGAGAGATAGGTTGGGGTGGTGTGGACTAGATTGAACTGGCTCAGGATAGGTACCAGTGGAGTGCTCTTGTAAACGCGTTAATGAACCTTCGGGTTCCATAATATATTGTGAAATTCTTTAGTAGCTGCACAGCTGGCGGGTTCTCAAGAAGGGCTCAGCTCCGTGGAGTTAGTAGGAACAGTGCCAAGTGTAACCAGGAGATATCTCTCAAACCGTTTGGCCTGGGACATCACCCGCAGTGGTTACTCTACCCTTGGAGAAATTCGGTCGAGTGCTCATTTCCGTAGGACATAGTCCGTTTTGTGTGTCATATCTTGAGAAAATTCAATCTATCACTCATCTTAAAAACATCCGTTTG